TATATATATATATATATAAACAAAATAACAAGCAATAAAAAAACAAAATACAAGCAAAATAAAAAAATAAAAAAAGGTCAACAGGTTGCGCACGATATTCCTGGGGACTGCGAGTCGATTCCCGAACTGTCCGGATGGATGGTAACACTATTCCGTGCTCATTTCAATCGGTCCGAGTCGTAGACGGACGAAAATATGAAATAAAATGGTTCAAATTCTTACAAGATATTATTATTGTTTATTGTGAAATTTTGCCGCCCCCTAAAACGTAATTTTGCTGCCCCCTAAAAAGTGCCGCCCTGGCGGGCTGCCCCTGACGCCCCACTACGCTACGCTATTGCCTTTTCCGCTCGTAGTAGCGGTGACCAGACCATAAACACTGGTGTTCAGTTGTGGGTTCGCGCCTCGATCGGACAAAGCTAGCAGCTTGGAGTTTTTCCGGGTTTTCTCCTTGCAGATGACGCCTAAATGGGGGCCAGCTTCCCATAAAAGTTCTCCCGGAAGGCATTCTATCCCCCTCGTGTCTCTTCTGGCCGTCTTCTATAAGGCCGATTCTTCCGCCGCCCTGCGATCCATCTGCTATCTCTTCTTCCCTTCAGGAGTACAAGAGAATAGCAATAAACTCCACTATCACACGGAATAAGGGAATAAAGTGACCTTTCATATGTTCGTTTTAACTGGATTAGGCCGCGTTTCTTTATGCAGCGAGAGTATAGCGAAATGACAACACGAGCAGTGTTAGCCAATTAGAAACTAGTTTCAGTGTGTTCGCTGTAAAGGGCTTCTTGAGCGCTGCATAAAGAAACACGGGGTTACGGGTGTTAGTTGGTGCTTTTCTCATGAACAATACACGTCTGGCCTAGTACTTTACTCCACCTATTCACTTTATTTACACAAATTTTTGCTTCTCTTTTCGTTTCTACATTTTCCTGCATCTTATGAAATTTTGGCTGTCATAAATAGACATAAATACCTTGTAATTCTGGTGAAAATCAATCAAAATCGTTTTTTATCATGTGTCCCGAAGCGGTTAGCGCCACATCAGTGCTTGCTACCGTGTGAACAATATTGTCATCTACACTTAGGTTTATTAATTACAGCAAATGCGGCATATTACCCGATGTGCCATATTTTTCCAACTTTACTAATAAATTTTTGAGTTAAAACAATGGTAAAGAATTATTCTTTCAAAACATGTAGGCGTATTGTTAAAGAACGTTTCGTTTGATTTGATGGAATACTTCAACGAATAAATACGATCTGCTAAGGAGAGATGCTTCCCTGGAGAGCTTTTTATAGTAAACTGGTTCCTATTTGGGTGTTAGACACTTGAAGAAAATCCGAAAAATTTCACGTGGTCAGCCGTCAGGCACGAACCCACGACCAACCACAAAAAGAAAGACATTACGTGATGTATTGAATAGAGGGAGGACGTAGCCTTCATGTGGTACAGTTCATAAAAGGAAGATTTTGTTCTCGTTTTGGAAGCCATTTTTTCCCATTTTTTTTTAAATACCATAACTCTAACACGAAATTAGATCCGAAACAATTGATGTGCGTGATATGAATTTGCGAAGTAAAAGTTAAAATAAAATTCATTAAAAATAATTTAGACGAAATATATTTTTAACATCAGATTTATCTTTCTATATCCTTTAAATGTTATTTCTGTAGTCATACATCCGGTTCATTAGCCGTTGTATAATCAAGTAAACATCTGAATCATTGTTTATACAGTCGATTCATTCATTCTACATTATAATGAGATATGACAGCACAAAAAAACTCAATATAACGACAAGTACATTTGAGAGCCTTTGATGATAACCGTTTCAATCTTATAACCTTTATGATGGCCAGGGCCGTGTTCAGTAACGCAGAATTCTTGCTGTCTAGTTATGCTGCGATGTTGAACTCGTTTCTAATTACTACTCGACTCCTCCCACCGCTAGAATTCTAGCTTTCTTTCTTTCTTCTTCTCTAATATGGAGATTCTGGTAGAATTCTAGCTAGTTTAGTCAGCTTCTTTTATCTATGCGAACTTGTACTAGTGACGTCAATGTTTTTGTCTGGTCGTACGATTTGCAAGATGGCTAATCGTGTTGGACTAAACGTATTTTATTATAAGAATTACAAAGTTATTCTCTCATTCTAAATCATTAACTCGTTCTCAAATGACTTCGAAATGTAAAATTATCATACGTCGGTATAACAGATTCCGAATACATTTTAACGGAAGATAGCGGTCCATTTCATTAATTACAGTTAATAATCGCTTTATTAATTTCATCACAATCTGACGCAGCTTCCATTTTGAATAATTTATTGGTTACTTCATCCTTTTCGATCAGTTCGTTTGTGACAATTGTTGCGATCATAATTTTAACTTTGTCCACCATTTTTCCTAGTTGTCTAACTAAGAATAATCGTTCAATGATGCTCAGAACATTCTTATCTCCGGCCACTAAGCCACTCACAACTTAGATGTTCTGCGTTACTGAACACGGCCCTGCTTATCACCACGTGTCTATAATGATTTTAAATAAATCCATTTATTTTTTATAACAAATTAAAATCTATATACTGTATACAATAAATAAATTACGCATATATGAAATGAATAATATAAAATCGATTTTAATTATAATTTACTAATAAAAAAAGTCGATTTAATTTTAATATTTACATAAGCAAATTAAACTCTTACGTAATTATAATTTTTTTCCACGAAGCGACATCTGGAGTCGACTTTTTTGTTTTTAAAATTTTTAAAATTAGAGAAGAAATGGATTACATTTGTTTTGAAATTGACGAATTTCGTATTTTTTGACACGGAAATTGTCATGTGGCGATTATAATATAATTCCACGAGAAAATAAGTTAACGTCAAAGATGCTTAATGACTTGCCCTTTGAGATTCTTCTCGATATCTTCACTTATTTGGATTATAAAGATCTGATTTGGTGAGAATTTATTTTATTAACTCGAATATATTATTTACGAAGTTGAATTAATTAATTGCAATTAAAATTATGTCTATCATTCTTACCGTTAATGCTCCGTATGGATGCATTGTTTTGTTACATACATTGCAGACCATCCCAGACCATGTTTATGTAAACAAATAGTAATGATTTTCAAGGATTTAAATTAGCTTTTCAAAAATCTTTGAAAAATTAGGTTAAAAAATGAGTCTGTATGTTGTTTGTTTATTAACAAGATGGATTCCTCTTTCAGTATTGTATAAATTCTGTAAAGAATATTCCTTTCATTACTGATTTTTTGATTAATGAAGTGCCATTTATGCTTGTTATTGACTGTTGTGTGCATTATATATGATGTTATGTAAGAAAAATGTAAATATAACAATTTGTCTCTAAATATTTTTTTTCTTTTCAAACAAAATTAATTAAATTTTTTTAATCAAATATTTGAAATTTTGATTTTCTGTAATGTAATTTCCTATTTCTGGCAAGATTTTCTCTTAAGTGCCTGTTAGGATTGTAGGCCATCCCTTGTGAGCCCCTGGCCTTTTTGCTCCTTTGTTGTTTTGGTTTGGGAAAAATAACATTAATTTATAGGGGTTTACGTCTAATTTTTTCTGTGGGTCTGGGGAAAAATCTGCTTCCTCTCTTGACAGACTGGCATGACCCTTCACAAGATATGACTCTTGGAATTTGCTTCCTACAGTGCCAAATGATTGCAAAAATTGATGAAAATTTCAAAATAAAAATAAAATTAAAACAATGTTTTACAATTAGTGTTTTTCTTGTTATGGAAAGGGAATAAATGTACTTTGATATTACATGTATTGCCAACATGTGGTTAAGTTGTTGCTGACATCTGTTTAATCTATAGGATTGATGCTGCATGGTGCACTGTAGCAAAATAAAATATGTATTAGCAAACTGTTGATGCTATTTTTTAAAGGTTTTTCTGAAGTTTTGAATGTGTCTGACTGAATCGGAGATGAAGAAAACTTTGGAGAAACATGGTTTTCTGCATTTTCCTATATTATACATGTCTCATAATGGATTGGTCTTAATTCGTGATTCCTGTTAGTTTTTCCTCATTTCACAATGGCTTCCAACTGTAGCAGGTGCCAATAGAGTCTGGCAGAGATAAAATCTTGCTATACTTCTTACATTATGCATGAAAAAATTATCATAAATAGTAATTCCAGGAACAAAATCTATTTTACATAATAAAAATAGATGCTCTTGGACTTATTTTATAAAACACATTTCTTTTTAATATAATTTTAATTAAGTATGCAGCAAATGTAATCACCTTTCATTTTAATTAATGTAACATCAAAAAAAATCTGATGTTTGTTAGGTTTTTCTCTTCAGACTTTGATGTTTGTGCTATTGGTTTGCTCTGTTCACTAACAAAGGTTATTGGAAATGCTTGTATTATTTTTATTTTTTAATTAAAATTTTTTGTACAAGGACTATAGTTTACATACTTTTGGTATACCAAAAGTGGAATATATCAATAGAACATTATTAAAATTAGTAAACCCAATTTCTAATAAGCCCAGTGTCATAAACTTCAAATAAATTCTTAGGAATATAATTTTAATTGCATAATATACAGAAATGGTTAACAAAAAAACATAACACATATATGTCTCATATAGTCATAATAGATGATGAATGATCATAAAATCAGTATGTACTGTATATCTATGAATTAAAGAGTATAAAACAGATATAAAAGACAAAAAGTCTATAAAGTTGGCTGTTTTAGAATAAAACATTGCTTCATTGGGAAGCTGCAGAATTTGTAGTGTTGCTAGTGAAAAAACCACCTTATTATTTCTTACAAATATGCAGATTTTACAGTCAGATGAACTCAGATTATAAGAAGCAGCACTTCTCTATTTACACTGACTACCAATCTGCCATCAATGTTATATACAATCACTTCCTCCAACCTGTTGCCAATGGCATCTACCATATTATTTCCAACTCCAACAACAGTTACTCTATCACCTGGGAAAAGGCACACATTGGAACCACTGATAACAAGCATGCTTATACACTGGCTGCCACTGATCTCAAGGTGGAGGAGACCTACAATAAAGTACCTCAGACATATCAAGCAGGTCTTGTGGGAGGATTTCTTGCTACAATGGCAATTTGAACGGGACCAAAAATACAACTCGACTGCCTACTGCTTCTTCCCCTCTATCAAGGATTTCTTCAATAACACCTGGCTTATACCAGACTTTTCTACCACTCAATTTTTCATTGGTGACAGCTGTTTTTTTTCAACTACCTCCAAAGATTCACCCTTCATGATAACGACCTTTGCACTGTCTGTGGTGTTCCTGATACTCCCCTCCCTTGCATCTTTTTCTGTCTCATGCTATCCATTTCTTGACACTTTTTGAGACACACAGTTTGTAACAAAATATATACTGAATAAAGAATGTGGATGCAACTATGCGCAGTTTAAAACAAAGACTCAAGGAATACAGGTATACAATCAATAAGAATCTTGACAGCTCTTTTCTAGCAGACAACATGTTCTAACATATGCAAGACAACAGGATGTCAATGTCCAATGGGATCAGGCAGCTATTATCAACACAATGACGAATAGACACACAGTGAAACAGCTTGAGAAATTGGAAATATACAAGGTGCACTTGAGAACTGGTTGTATAAACCACAGAAATGCAGATGCATTATCTACCGTTTGAAGGTTATTTTACAATAATTAATAATATTAAGGCGATGTTATGTATTGTATTTATACTTTTTCCTTATTTATGATATTTTATTTATCCATATTTAATCCACAAGGACATCTGTTAATTTTTATATTTATTCTATAATCATTTTATGTTCTTTCTATAACTGATGAAGATTGTTTCAAACAATATAATATAATAAAAACGTTTTCAATCGTTAAAACGATTGAAAACGTTTTTATTATATTATATTTTTGCTGGATTGACATGCACTTTTGGACAAAGGGAGATGTTGGCAATGTGAGTGCAATTACTTAATAGAAGACAAGAACATTTACTTCTACTTTAAACAGCTTATATCTTCCTACAACAAAGTCACAACAGTCCCTCAAGTCAGCTCCCGCTAGCTTTTGTTCTTTGTTACCATTATTATTCCTCAACTACAACAGTTTTGTAAATAATTTTATGTAAATACATGTTTGTTATATATTTTATACTTTATTTGTATTTTATCTCTCTTGTAACTCATTTTGTTTTACTATACGAGGGGGAGACCCAAAAAAAAAATCGAACTGAGAGCCCGCTGCCATTCGTAGATGTATTAGAGAGTTCTCCTGTTACATGGGGTTAGTAGAGACCTTCACGAAATAGCTGTGAAAACGGCGTCAGTTTGTAGGTTTATGTTTGAGCGTAGTGTTGTGTTTCTCTTACTGTTATTTTGTTCCACCTGCGAAATTCTGGGCATCCTTCAACATCTCGAAACGATGAAAACATTGAAAAAAATCTGCCAAAAAAGTGTTAAGATGTTTGCGAGATGATGTGCGAAGGAAACGCCTGGAAGTTTGGCAATCAGGTAACTTGTTCCTTCATCACAACAATGCCCTCACACATAGCCTTATGAGTGACTCACTATTTGGCCTCTCGGGGATGGCCTGTCATTCCCTACCCTCCGTATTCGCCAGACCTAGCCATGTGCGACTTTTTTCTGTTTCCGAGAATGAAGAAAAATCTAAAATGGAAGCGTTTTTATGATGTGGAGGTGGTAAAAATAGCTTCCCTAAGGGCACTGGATGATATCAAGGTTGAAGAGTTCCAGAGATGCTTCAAACAGTGGGGAAAAAGACTTCACAAGTGCATCACATCTAATGGAGAGTACTTTTGAGGTGACTGAAGAAATTTTGTAAAAAAGTTAATAAATAAAGTTTTTATACAAAAAATCTGGTTATTTTTTGATCCCCCACATATATGTACTGTACATTATTACTGTACAGTACATTGTACACGGAGTGGTATTTATATTTGTATGTTGTATTTCAGCAATATTTTAGATTTCAACTTTAGTATCAGTAGAATGTAAATGCCTTAAGTAAATATGTGTTGTGTGCTAATGTGTTCTACCATTTTGCACTCATCATCTGTATATAATGTGTACAAATGAGAGAGAGATGCCTGCGCTGGTTTGGCCACGTCTGACGATCAGCCCTGAATACAGTTGCCAACATTGCCTACCACCTAGAGGTGAACTGCTGCTGGCCATGTGGAAGACCAAAGCAACAATGGCAAGATGCTATCAATGCAGACCTAAGGACTCTGCACCTGAACCCAGACAATGCACTCGATTGAACAAAGTGGTGTTTGAAGATCTGAATAGTGGACCCTACATCTGTGGGAGAATGCTAAGAAGAAGAAATCTGTATATAATGTGTAAATTTTTGCATGTTTCTATATTTTGCACATGTATCCTCTCTTCAATATATTGTATTTCAAAAAACTGGATTCTTAATTATATAACACTCACCAAATAGACCATTACCAGTTCACAACTGAACTGAAAAATTCTTTCTACCTGAAGATGTCTATTACATATAGATGAAAACGTTCGTAGAAAGAATTTTTCAGTTGGGTTGTGAACTGGTAATGGTTTATTTGGTGAGTGTTATATATCCTCTCTTGTTACGATTATTTCTTATTGTATGCAATTTTCTGCACTTATATTTTATGTGATTCACCTATGTACTCTCTGCCAATCTATATTGTATCTGCTGCCTGGTAGTGCTATGTGGAACCAGGCAGCACCTTTTGTGCCAAATAAAATAGAAGAAAAGAAGTCAGATCTAGTCAACTTTTTGGTTACAAGCTTAAATTTGTTTGAGCTGCAATTTGAAACAAGTAAAATGCCAAAGCCATTTATTTTTGGGACAAGACTATACCTTGGAGACTCAGGGCTTGACTGCACACTGTTTTCTAAGGAAAAGAGAAAAA